TAGTCAAAATGGCTGAGTATAGGCGGTAAATTGTAAATTTACATATAGATTTTTTCTTTTTGTTATGAAATTTTATTTATATGATATGTTGCAAGCATATTTAAAAAGTTTTTCTTTAAAATTAAGATTTAAATTTTCATTATTGAAGTGTTTGAAACACATTAGTTTTTTTAACTTAAAATCTTTTTATAATATAATTGCTATTATTGTGACTATAGTGACTGCTCTTAAAGACAGTATTTTAATTCTCTTTGTTGTTACAGCTTTACAATATATAAGATTACCATTATTTTTCAATGCTCTTGTGAAGGAAAATCGTAAATAAATAAAAATATCTACACACGCGGCAAGAAGGAGAAAAATTCTTAGCAATCTTAACCGAGAATATCTTAAATTTATCAGAATTAAAATTTTAGGGAAAAATCCTGGTATGGGGGGGAGTCCTCCTATGCTTAAAAATAAAAGGGGGTTTTCTAGCGTGTCTCTATTACGGTAATTTTGGTCTAAATACTTATTATTTATTGTTGAACTTAATACTAAAGAAAATGAGTACACTGCAAAATAAAATATTCATCCAGAATATGTTGTTACAACTGCGGTCAAGAGTCATCTGGTGTTGGACAATCTTGAAACTGTCAACATTCTTTTAAATAAATTTTGTTTTATATTAATGAATATAGCTATAAAAGAAGAAAGAAAAATAAAGATTAATATTAAATAAGACAAGCCGGCTTGTCTTAAAAGAAGAAGAAAAAATCCTCTTAATTTCTGTAGGGTGAGGATTAATAATAAAATTCTTAAAGTAATGGAAAAGCTTAATAAGAATAATCAATTAAAAAAAACCCCTGCCCCTATTTTTAAAAAGGCTACTGTGATGAGGCTGCTGTTTGGTTCTGATACATCTATTAGTGAACTTTCTTCATTAATTATGGCTATCAATAAAAATATTGAGCTAATTCCTTGCACGATAAAGTACAATAAAGAAGCTTCACCCCCTTTTTTTGTTTTTTTAATTAATATCAATGGGATAAAGCATAAGGAATTTATTTCTATAAAAATTCAAAATATAAATCAATTATTTGAGCTAATTATGCCTATTAGTCTGATTAAATAAAATATTCTCATAAGCGGTAAGTTTTTATTGATTAATAAGAAAAGGGTTTTATCGTTGAGGTATGAACTCAATAGCTTGTTTAGCTTATCCTATTATATAATATATTGGTATATCAAATTTTGATTTTGAAAGAAAAATTTAAATATTTTTATAATAATTAATATTACTTAATTTTTTATTTGTTTTATAATATTTTAACATGTAAAAAATTTGATATTGGTTTTGAAAAATAAAGTGAAAATTTAGGAACATAATTTTTTTGAGAGCTTGTGTTGTACTAAAAAATTTTATATAAATTTTGACAAAAGATTTTAATTATTTTTATCAAGCTTATAGTATGCCAGCAGCTGCGGTTATATACTTTGATGTTTTTATGTGAGATAAATTAATTAATATAATTTACGGCAGGACAGGTTTGTAAGTAAAATTATTCTTCTTATAGGAGATTTTTAAATAGTTTTTTTTATAAAAATCATAAAAACCAAGATTAGATACCTTGTTATTTTTTTGTAATAGCCAAAGGAGTGAGGTTTAAATATTTAAAATTTAAAAAATTTGGCGGCATTTGGTTTATCAGAGGGAGCTGTCTGCTAAAAGAAAGTACGCGCAAGAATTTACTTTGCTTATTTGAATTTATATATCGTCGTCGATATATTGCTTTTGGCTTCACTAAATAAAGAATTAACTTTAATTTTCAGATCTACATATAGTTTATAGCAAAGGTCAGATTGGTTACAATTTCTTTTTTGTTAATTTAAGTAGGATATTTAAAAATAATTGGATTTGAAAGTAAAAATACATATATTTTTATTTTGAATATTTTTTCCGGGTGTGCACATATCGCCCGTCACTTTTTCCCTTAGGAAAAAAAAGTCGTAACAAAGTGGGCTAATCGGAAGATTAGCCTTTAAAGTATTTTATTCTTTTACAATGAATTATTATCCTTAACAAGGGTTGCTTTAAAGAAAAAACAATAATATTAAAATTTAAATTTTATGTAAAGAGAAGCAACATATTTTTGTTAAAAAAGAAAATTATTATAAACAATGAATTGAAGGGTCGTGCCTTGGGGTTAAGGATTTTTTTATTTGATTGGGTTTATTGTTTCTCGATTATTGAAGTTTTTTTAATTATTAGGATTCTTACCGTTTCAGAGTGGAAAATTTGAATTTAAAATTAAAAAGTGATAAAAAGTCTTGATTCAATAGGTATCTAGTTAATTAGATTTAAATTTATTTTTTTTTCTTTCAGATGCAAGCTTAAAAGTTTAAATTTTTATCTTACTTTTCCCAATAGCAAAATTTTTGATATTTTATTAAAATTAGAAGTGTAAAGTTTTATAACTTATTAATTTACTAATTATTTTATTATCGTAGTTGAAATAAAAATTTAATTTAATAGGCGATAGCTATAAAACTATGAGAAAATTAGTAGAATTATTGTTTACTCGGTGTGTAATAGCATTTAAAATATTTAAAATTAATTTGACTGTATTTTTTCATCTGTTTTGCAAAAACATAGTACTGAGATATAATTTAGTATGATGTCTGCCCGGTGAGATATTAACGGCCGTAGATTTCTATGCTAAGGTAGCATAATCATTTGTCTTTTTATTGGGGACTGGAATGAAAGGCGTTTTGAAAAAATTTTTTATTTTTTTTATTGAGTTGAAGTTAGATGTAGAGTGAAAATACTCTTTATTAATAAAAAGACGAAAAGACCCCGTAGAGTTTTAATAATTCTTTTGTTTTTCTCATATAAACTTATTTTAACTGGGGCGGTTAATGAAATCTCATTTATAAAAAAAATTTTTATTGGCAAAAAAGAAGATCCACTTATGAGTGATGAAAAATAAATTACCTTGGGGTTAACAGCGTTATTTTTAAGAAGAGTTCAAATCGTTTTAAAAGTTTACGACCTCGATGTTGGATTAAAGTCACTTGAAGGGGCAGATCTTTTTTAAGTTTGTCTGTTCGACAAATAAAACTTTTCATGATCTGAGTTCAAATCGGTGTAAGCCAGGTTGGTCTTTATCTTTTTTGACAAAATAAAATAAAATAGATAGTACGAAAGGACTCCTATTTAGTTTAATTGTTATTAAATATTAAAATTAAGAAAAAAAAAAAAAAGTCTCTATTTATTGAGGCGCCCTTTGGGCCAGATTTTAAAAAGTGTCAGTAAAATAAATATATTATATTTATTATTAGTTTTCTTCAATATATAATTGGAAAAAGGAGTTTCAGAACAACCGACCTTTTGGGGTCGCCCTTGCCTGCTTTATTTTGTATGAGGTCATCTTTTCTATTTGCTTTTTCTCTTATTCTTATTTTTGTTTCTTTTCTTATTTATTTATTATTCTTATATAATTTCTTATTTATTTGTTCATTAATTAATTTAATATTGAAACTTGGTTGGGCGTAGCGATTTAAAATGTAATTAAAAATGTTTTATATTATTATATTTATATAGTTTTTTAAAAATTTTTGTTGGCAGATTAGTGTGTTAAATTTAGGATTTAAAAATGTATTTTATACACTTTAAGATGCCTGAAAAAGGACTATCTTGATAGGGTAGTATATAAATTTACATTTTCTTAAAGTAGTTTAGTGTGGCAGATTAGTGCTTTGAATTTAAAATTCAAATATAAATTTTATTTTTCTAAAAATACTCTTTATATTTGATGTTTCTGTTTACTATTTTCAGGTTTTAATTTTTGTTATAGTTGCTGTTGCCTTTTTAACACTAGTTGAACGTAAGGTGCTAAGATACAGGCAACTTCGTAAAGGTCCCAATAAACTTGGTTTTGTCGGTCTTCTTCAACCTTTTGCGGATGCATTGAAATTGTTTTCCAAAGAAGAAATAGTTCCTGTGTCTTCAAATTTTTTGCTTTATTGGTTTTCTCCAATTTTGGGTTTTGTTATTACTATACTGTTATGGGTTTCTTTGTTTAGGTTTTCTGGTTATCTTGATTTTAAATTTTCTCTTTTATTTTTTTTGTGTTGTATTAGTTTAAGAGTTTATGGCGTGATCTTTTCAGGATGGTCTTCTAATTCTAAATATGCTTTGATAGGGGGTCTGCGTACTGTTGCTCAAACTGTTTCTTACGAAATCACTCTTGCTTTTATTTTTTTGTCTTTAGTTTTTTTTTTTGTTTCATACAGTTTTTTTGAAATTTATAATTTTCATACTTATTTTAGATTTTTTTTTTTTCTTTTTCCTTTGGCAGTAGTTTTTTTTATTTCATGTGTTGTTGAAACAAATCGAGCTCCTTTTGATTTGGCTGAGGGAGAATCTGAGCTAGTCTCCGGTTTTAATGTAGAGTACGGAGGTTTGAAGTTTGCTTTAATTTTTATAGCTGAATATGCTAGCATTTTATGAATGAGACTTTTATGTACTTTTTTTCTTTTTTTGAACTTTTCTTTTTTATTCAATTTTTGTTTTTTTTCTTTTTTTGTTTTTTTATTTTTAATTTTTCGTTCTTCATTTCCTCGTTTGCGTTATGATTATTTAATATATTTAACTTGAAAAAAGTTTTTACCCTTAGTTCTTATTTTTTTTTTTTTTTCTTTCCTTTTAGTTTAAAACCGATAAGTATATTTAATACTTTTTTTATGTTTTCAAAACATTAGATAGCGGTTTTTAAATGAAAAATCATCTGAAATAAAAAAATGTGCTTACAATTCTCATTCTTAAAAAAGGTTCTTCTACAGGTTTTATTCCTAATCATGTTAGGATTAGAAAAATTATAACAAAAAATCAAAAAAACATGTTTTTTTGATTTTCTTTGTTGAATTGTTTTATTGATGATTGTAAAATTAAAGGAATTAATATTAAGATTGACAGTAGAAGTGCTATGACACCTCCTAATTTATTAGGAATTGCGCGTAGAATAGCATAGGCGAATAGAAAATATCATTCCGGTTGGATGTGCACGGGTGTGACTATAGGGTTTGCGGGAATAAAATTTTCTGCGTCTATTAAAGAAAATGGGAAAGTATAGTTAATTATTATGAATATGAATATAATTAAAAGTAGTGACGTTAGGTCTTTTAAAGAAAAATAAGGATGAAAAGTGATTTTGTCCCTCCCCAATCGTAGGCCTAATGGGTTGCTGGATTTTTGTTCGTGGAGAAAAGTTAAATGAACAATTACTAATAGTCTAATGACAAAAGGTAATAAATAGTGCAATGAAAAAAATCGAGTAAGAGTTGCATTATTTACAGAAAAGCCTCCTCACACTCATTCCACTAAAGGTGTTCCAATATAGGGGACTGCCGATAATAAGTTTGTGATTACAGTTGCTCCTCAAAAAGATATTTGTCCTCAAGGTAAGACATAGCCTAAAAATGCTGTTATTATTGATATTAAAAAAATAGTTACTCCTCTGATCCAAGTTATATTCAGCACATATGATTTAAAATATAATCCTCGACCAATATGAATAAAAAAGGCTAAAAAAAATAGTGATGCTCCGTTGGCGTGAATTACTCGCATTAGTCAACCCCCTTGCACGTCTCGTATTAAATGTCTAATACAGTCAAAAGCTAAGTCAATTCTTGATCTGTAGTGTATTGCTAAAAAAATGCCTGTAATAATTTGAGTTATTAAGCATACCCCTAAAAGAGATCCAAAATTTCAAAAGTGAGTGATATTAGAAGGGGCTGGTAGATCCACTAGAGCAGAATTTATGATTTTAATTAGGGGGTGGGTTTTTCGTATATTTGTCATAATAAGATCTTTTCATTGGTGTTTTATATTTGGATGTGATATATATTGTCGCGGTAAGAGAAATAAATAAATAACACAGTATAAATGTAAATATATTATGATAAAATAAGTGGGCAAAATCTCTTACTGGCCTCTGTCTATGGTTAAAAAAGCTAAATTTAATAGTTTTTATTGATCACAAAATTGGCAGCAATGCTAAGAGAGAAAATCTAGCATTTTCTATGCGGGAGGGTAAAAAAATTTCGTTAGGAATCAGGGCTGAAAGATAAACGAAAATAATTAACAATCCCCCTAAAAAAATTAAAAATAATAAAAAAGCTATTCATCCCCTGTGTGAAGCGTGTAGAGCGGAATAAATTGCCGGGGCGCTTTGGACAGTTAAAATGCCTACTAGAATTAAAGGGTGCTGGAAAAGGCTGAAAAATCATAAAGTGATTCTTCTTATGATTATGATTTCTTTTATTTCGGAAATAGTTTAACTATAAAATTTAAATTTTGGAGATTTAAGATGTGATTTTCTTTCTGAAGTTAAAAACTTTTAAGTATTGTAGACATACAAGGTCTGCGTTTTTATTTAAACTATTTTAGCTATTTCTTTTCTTTTTTCATTTATATTGATTTATATGGCGTTTCTTTTCGTATTAAAATTTGATCATCTTCTTTCTATTTTTATTTCTTTAGAGTTTTTGGGGCTGTTTTTATTTATGCTTTTAATTTTTTTTTTAAATTATTTTTTTTTGTTCACGTTATTTTTTTTAGTTATTACAGCTAGGGAATCTGTATTGGGTTTAACTCTTTTTGTTTATTTTATTCGTTCTTCTATAAAAGATTATGTTTATAGATTCGGTATTTTAGTATTTTAATTTTATTAATTATATTAAGCTTGCCTTTAATAATATTTTCTTTCTTAGGTGCGGTTGATTTGGCTGTGCTTTTTGTTTTATTTTTGTTTACCATTTTTACTGGGGGTCCTATTTTTTTTATCTCTGAAATTTTATTTTTTGATAAAATTTCTTTTTTGCTTATCATTCTATCTTTTTGGCTTTTTTCTTTGATATTTTTGTTGGGCCAAAAGTATAAAATTTTAAAAGTGTCTCTCATAAAATACAAAATGTATATATATATTCTCATAAGTTTTATTGTTTTTTCAGTCATGTTTTCAGATTTAATGGCTTTTTACATTTTTTTTGAAATTTCTCTTGTGCCTCTAGTTTTTATTATTTTGGGGTGGGGCTATCAGGTTGAACGTGTTCAAGCTTTTTTTTATTTATTTCTTTATACTATGTTTGGTTCTTTACCTTTGCTATTTTTTTTTTTGTTAACTTACAGTTACTTATCGTTAGATTGGCTCATATTATACTATTTAAAAAACTATAGGGAAAATTTTGTTTTATTATTATTTTTAGCTATAATAATTGCTTTTTTTATTAAGTTGCCTCTTTACGGCTTTCATTTATGACTCCCTAAGGCTCATGTCGAAGCTCCTGTTTCGGGGTCTATAATTTTAGCTGCTGTTTTATTAAAGTTAAGATTGTATGGATTTTATCGTGTTTCACCTTTAATAAAGCCTTTATTTTTTTTTTTTTTTTTTGCTTTGGTTTTTTTATTTTGAGGTGCTTTATTAAGTAGTTTAGTATGTTTGCGACAAACGGATATGAAATCTTTAATTGCTTATTCTTCCGTTGGTCATATAGGAGTGATGCTTGGGGGGTTTTTCTTTTTTAGACAAATAGGGTTAAAAGCTGCAATTATTATTATAATGTCTCATGCTTTTTGTTCTAGGGCTCTTTTTTATTTAGTAAATTTTCATTATGAGCGATCTTATTCTCGTCAAATTTTCAATAACCGGGGTCAGTTCATTTTTTTTGGGATACTTATGTCTTTTTGATTTTTGTTTTTAGCAATTAATTTTTCAGCTCCCCCTTTTCTGTCATTAGTTGGAGAGTTGGGTGTTTTTATCAGATCTTTTGGCAAAGATTTGACTTATATATATGTTTTAGGGTTAGCAAGTTTTGTTGTGGCAGCTTTTTGTATTTATTTGTTTAGAGTGGTGATTCACGGATTGGGGTTGAAGCACTATATTTTGCAGGTCGAAATAGATTTAAATTTTTTTGTTCTTTCATATCATTTTTTGCCTGCATTATTAATAGTCTTGCTATTAGATTTTTTTTAAAGTATTAGTTTAATTTAAGTGTAAAATATTGTATTGTGGTTACAAAAATGGCTTTCCAACTAATATTGACTTTATGGCTAAGGGGGTTTTTTTTTGTTTTTTTCCTTATTATGACTTTTTTTTTATTTAGTATAGGGGTCACAGTTATCGAATTTCAATTGTTTACTTCTTTTTTCACTTCTTTATCTGTTTCTTTTGTAATTGATTTTTATTCTATTTTGTTTGCTTCAGTTGTTAGTTTTATTTCTGCTATAATTTTTTTTTTTTCTCAATTTTATATGGACGGAGATACTCAGCAAAAGGGGTTTTCTTTGCTGTTGAGTGGTTTTGTTATTTCTATGTTTTTTTTAATTTTTAGTCCTAATTTATTTTTTTTACTTCTTGGATGAGACGGTTTGGGCTTAGTTTCTTATTTATTAGTGGTTTATTATATGAGTGTTTCCAGTTCAGTAGCAGGAATATTGACTTTTTTGATAAACCGAGTCGGAGATATTTTTTTTCTTTTTTCTCTTAGTTTGTTTTCTTTGTTTTCATTATTTTCATATTTTGATAATAAAGCTTTAGTATTCGTACAAATGGGAGCTTTTTTTTTATTAATTACTTTTATTACAAAGAGAGCCCAGATTCCTTTTTCGTCTTGGCTTCCAGCTGCGATAGCAGCCCCCACTCCAGTTTCGTCATTAGTTCATTCTTCTACACTTGTAACGGCTGGGGTATTTCTTCTGATTCGGTTTAGTCCTTTGATATTGAAGTTTTTTTATTTTCTCATTGTTATTTCAGTTTTTACCATATTAATAGCTGGGACAATAGCTAATTTAGAATGAGATATGAAAAAAATTATTGCATACTCTACTTTAAGACAACTTTCTTTCATAATACTTTCTTATTCAACTGGTTTAATCATCTTTTGTTTTTTTCATTTATTAACTCATGCTTTGTTTAAAGCTTCTCTTTTTATAAGAGGGGGGCTGGTTATTCATAGAGAAGACAGAAGACAGGATTTTCGTAATATATCTCCTTTTTCTTCCGGCAAAAAATTATTTGCTTCTTCTTTTGTAGTTTGCATTTTGTCTTTGTGCGGGTTTCCCTTTTTATCTGGGTTTTTTTCTAAAGATTTAATTTTAGATACTTTATTAAGAAGGTTTGTGCTTATTATTTTATTTTTAATTGGGGTGTTTATGACTATTTTGTATTCGTTACGATTTTCTTATTATATGCTTATTTCCCTTTCTTCTTTTCGTTCATCTTTATCTGGAGTGTACGAGAATGTGAAGTATTTGATTTTGCCAATTTGGAGTTTAATTATTTTTTCTATTGTTATAGGTTCTTTTTGAAGAGAGTTCTTTTTTAATTTTTTTTTTTTTTTTACTTATTTATTATCTATTTGAAAACTTTTTTATTTGATATTAGTAGCATTTTTGTCTTTGGCTTATATATTTATCTTAAAAAAAATTTTTTTTTTAAAATTATATTTTTTTAGTTTTATATGGGTTTTAAATCAAAACATGACGGCTCGAGGTGTTAAATTATTTACTATTATAGCTGATAAAATTTTTTGTTTTTTAGACCAGAGTTGGTGAGAGTTTTATGGCCCTCAAAATATTTTTTTTTCTTTTACTTCAGCTTCTGTTCTTGTGATGTCTTTTGTTGAGTGAAGATTGGTATATTTTTTTGCACTTTTTATTTTTTTATTATTTTTTTTCATCTGTTTAAGTAGCTTATATTAAAGCTTAGATTTGAAGAATCTAATAAAAGTAATTTTCTTTTACAAAATAAAACCTTTGGCATTTTTATAATGAAATTATAATATGTTAGTTTACATTATTTATTTAAGAATCTTCATGCTATGCACAATTATTAAAGTTAGCGGCTTTAAATTTTAAATTCTTTAAATTGAAGTTTTCTTATGATTTTAGTTAACATCTAAACACTGTTTCAGTCACAATTTATTATGATAAATAAGGATTAAATGAATCTAAAAGTAGGTCGAAACTACCATATCTTATTTTGGGTGAGGTCGTTGACAATTTTTAATTGCAATTTAAATTTTATTATTTTAAATACACTCCCATGATCATTCTAGAGCACCTTGCTGCCATTCAAAAATTAGGCCCCCCAATAGTAAGGTAAAAAATCTTCAATTAATTATTGTTCTTCTTTTAATGGAAAGACTTTCTTCTACTATGGGGCTCGGAAGAATTACAGCAATTTCGATATCGAAAACTAAAAAAATTACTGTAATAATAAAAAATCGTAAAGAAAACGCTATTCGGTTAGTGTGGTTAGAATCAAATCCGCACTCAAAATTTCTTATTTTTTCCTGTCATTTAACCCGATTTTGAGTTTTTATTACATAGGAGAGGGCTATTAAGATAATAATGATTGCAATAAGTCTAAATGTAGGAATTATGATTACACTGTTTGAGTCAAACTTTTTGATTGGAAATCAAATATACTAAATATATTAAAAGTGTAATAACTTCATCAATAAAGAAAACTATACAAAAACAATCAGACTACGTCTACAAAATGTCAGTATCAGATAGAAGCTTCTAAGCCTAAATGATGGTTTAAAGAGTACATATTTAGGTTGTGTCGCATTAGAGACACTAATAAAAAAATTGTTCCCACTAAAACGTGAAGTCCATGAAATCCAGTCGCTAGAAAGAAAGTTCTTCCAAATCTTGAATCTCTTATTGAGTAAGATGATTCTCAGTATTCTCAAGCTTGAAGGGAAGTGAAGTATAAGCCTATTACTACTGTTACTATTATATTTGTATTTATAATCTTATTATTCTGTTCAATTAAGCCGTGATGAGCTCAAGTTACAAAAACTCCTCTTGCTAGAAGAACTGAAGTATTTAAAAGAGGAACTTGGAATGGGTTAATGGCTGCAATTCCTAAGGGTGGCCATATTAATCCCAATTCCAAGTTGGGCGCTAGTCTTCTATGAAAGAACCTTCAAAAAAACGAAAAGAAAAACAAAATTTCGGAAGTAATAAATAAGATTATTCCTCATCGAAGCCCATTTATGACTAAGTTCCTATGATAGCCTTGGTAAGATCTTTCCCGTGAAACATCGCGTCATCATTGGGAGGTGTTAAAAATTGTCAGTAAGAGTCCCATGTTTATTATTGTGGGGGATTTAGTACATATCCAATTTACAGTTCCGATAAGCATGGTTAATACACTTCTTCCCGTAAAAATAGGTCATGGTCTGTTAAAAACTAAATGAAAGGGATGATTTTGATTGATCATTAGGCTTCATTTATGTATATCGAGATTAGAATAGTGAATACATATCTTTGAATAAAAGCTACTGCCGTTTCTAAAATAATAAGCATGATAAGAATTCTGCTAGATAAGTTTAACATAGTCACGTTGCTACTTGCAAGTCCTATTAAAATGTGTCCAGCTGTTATATTAGCAGCTAATCGCACTGATAAAGTAATTGGCCGAATAAGTTGACTTACTCTTTCGATGATTACCATAAATTGTGAGAGCGGAAGGGGGGTGCTTAGTGGCACTAAATGGCTAAAAAAATGGTTTGTGTTATTAATAAGACTGAATGAAATAAAACCCAGTCAAAATGGTAGTGTCATTGATAGGGTTACAGTTATGTGAGCTGTTCTTGTGAATACATAAGGTACTAAGCCTGCTAAATTTATAAGCAATAAACTAAAGAATACACCCATAAGAATATTGGTTTTTCCTTTTTTAAAAGAGTTTGAAATTGTCCTTTTTAACTCTCTTTCAATTGATGCGTATATATCTAAGTTGATAAATTTGTTTCGACTTTTTTGTAAAAATATGAAATCTATACAAATCGGTCTTATTAGCAAAGTTAAAAAAGAAAGGTAATTTATGGAAAAAAAACCTCTTATGGGGTCAAACGATGAAAACAGTCTTGTTATCATAATCATTTGTTTTTTTCAGACAATAATTTTGTTGAGAGTTTTTTATTGGTACTATTATGTAGAGGGGATGAATAACTTATAAAAATTAGATTTATCATAACAAATATGGTGATATAAATTCTTATTCACGGTAAGTTTGACATGTGGGGTATAGAAAATTACAGTCTGGTAATTTAAAGTTGACAACTTTATATTATTTTTTTTTAATTAAATTTTCTAATTTAAACAGACTATTCTGTGTCTTCGAATTAAAAGCTCGATGCATTAAAGCTTTAAAATTATCTGTTAATTATTGTTTTTACTCATTCTTTGAAAAAGAAAATTGGTCGTGTGTCAAGGGTGATGGGTATAAAACTGTGGTTCGTTCCGCAAATTTCTGAACACTGTCCATAGAATAAACCTGGTTTTATTGCAATAATATTGATAATGTTCAGTCGTCCTGGAGTGGAATCAGCTTTTACTCCTATAGCTGGAATGGTTCATGAGTGTAAAACATCTGTTGAAGATACAAATATTTGAATGGGAGTGTTAGTTGGGATGCAGGTATGATTATCTGTTTCTAGCAAACGAAAAGAAGTGGTTTTTTCTACAGGTCTTATAAAAGCATCAAATTCAAGATCTTTAAAATCTCTGTATTCATATGATCAATATCATTGGTGTCCTATTGTCTTAATATTTAAGGGAGATTTTTCTCTTTCCTCTGATAAGTAAAGTAAACGCAAAGACGGGAAAGCGATAATAATTAAAAATACTCCTGGCAAAAAAGTTCATAAAATTTCTAATTCGTGATTTTCTCTTTGTTTAGTTACATTAAATTTGCTAAGGCATAATTTACTCAGCCTGTATCCAACAATAAGTATAATTAGTGTGAGAATAGATATGATATGGTCATGCAAAAAAATAAATTGCTCTATAAGAGGTGAAAATCTGTTTTGAAAATTTAATTGCTCTCAGCTAGCCATTTTAGTAATTAATTAATCTTAGTTGGCTATATGAGTGCAACACTGGCGGAAAGTTGTGTTTTCATTCTATTACTCTATTAGAGCTTGCGATAAATAAAATTTTTCGTTGTGAAATTAAGCTTTCTCAAATAATAAAAAACAAAAAAATTGTAGCTGCGATAGACAAGATAGACCCTAATGAAGAAACATTATTCCACAAATAAAACGTATCTGGGTAATCTACATATCGTCGAGGTATCCCGGCTAGTCCTAGAAAATGTTGAGGAAAAAATGTTATATTAACTCCGATAAATATTCTAAAAAACTGCGCTGTTAATCATTTGTTATTTATTTGGGTGCCTGTAAAAAGCGGGAATCAATGAGTAATTCCCGCGATAATTGCAAAAACAGCTCCTATTGAGAGAACATAGTGGAAGTGAGCTACGACATAGTAAGTATCATGTAAAACAATATCTAACGAGGAGTTGGACAAGACAATTCCTGTTAATCCTCCAAGGGTGAAAAGAAAAATAAAACCCAATACTCATTGTATAGGGGCGTGTATTAGAGATTTTCTTCCGTAAATTGTTCTTAATCATCTGAAAACTTTAATACCTGTAGGAATTGCAATAATTATAGTTGCGGCTGTGAAGTAAGCTCGAGTGTCTAGATCTATACCTACAGTAAATATGTGATGAGCTCATACAATAAATCCTAATAGACCAATTGTTCTCATGGCATAAATTATTCCTAGGTGCCCGAAAGTCAGATGTTTTCCTCTGTAATGTACAATAATTTGAGACACTAGCCCGAACCCCGGAAGAATTAAAATATAAACTTCTGGGTGGCCAAAAAATCAAAATAGGTGTTGGTATAGAATAGGGTCCCCTCCCCCTGCTGGATCGAAAAAAGAAGTATTAAAATTTCGGTCAAGTAAAAGTATGGTAATAGCACCAGCTAGTACAGGAAGGGCCAAAAGCAGTAAAACGGCTGTAATTAAAACCGATCACACAAATAATGGTATGTTTTCTATTCTTATGGCAGGTGTTCGCATGTTAATGATTGTGGAAATAAAATTGATTGCTCCCAAAATTGAAGAGACGCCAGCAATATGGAGAGAGAAAATGGTTAAATCTACGGCAGGGCCACTATGAGCAAAATAATTGGATAAAGGCGGGTATACAGTTCATCCCGTTCCTGCCCCCTGTTCAGCTATTGTGCTTGTTGAGATTAATAGAAAAGAGGGGGGCAGAAGTCAAAATCTTAAATTATTTATTCGTGGGAAAGCTATATCCGGCGCCCCAATTATAAGTGGGACTAATCAGTTTCCAAAGCCTCCGATCAGAATAGGTATAACAAAAAAAAAAATTATAATAAAGGCATGTCTGGTTACTGTGACATTGTAAAGTTGCTCTTCGGCAAACAGTGAGCCGGGTTCTCTAAGTTCGGAACGAATAATTATACTAAGTGATCTTCCCACTGTGGCGGCTCAAATGCCGAAAATAAAATATAGGGTTCCGATATCTTTATGGTTTGTTGAAAATATTCATCGCAG